ATATATATATATATATATATATATATATATATATATTCTCTTTTCCTTCTGATAAATTAGTTACTTTGTTCTTTGTTCAATTTGTATATTTTTTTATTAGATTTCAGCTTTTATGTATATATATATATGGGTTTTTTTTTGTTTCAGTTTTGGTTTTGGTTTGCGGGGAGGGATTGGTTTGGGTTGGTTTGGGTTGGTTTGGGGTTTTGATGCAAAGATTTCCCTCTGTAGCCAGCAGTCCTACCCTAGCCTACTGAGTGCTACAATTACAAGAATGATCTGCTCATTACATTAAAAAAAATATATTTTATCTATCATTTCTATTTTATGTGAATGAATATATTGCCGACATGTCTGTAAGTGCACTTGTGTCATGCAATGCCTACGGAGATCAGAAAAGGGCATTGGATCCCCTGGAACTGGAGTTACAGATGGTTGTTCACCACCATGTGGGTGCTGGGAATTGAACCTGGGTCCTCTTCAAGAACAGCCAGTGCTCTTAACTGCTGAGCCAACTCTCCAGCCCTCCCCCCATTACTTTTAATCTATCTTCTTTTCTAAAACTTTACAACTCTTAGACCCATTTTGAAAATGAAAATAATTTTCCCATAAACCCAGCATGTTGAGAAAACATGTGGACAAGAAGAATATTTTTCACATTTAAAGATAAAACTAAGTGATCAATTAATGAATTAATGATAACATTGGCTATAGCACTCTCTTGTCATGATATTGTGTGTCAAGAAGGGTTGCCATCAGCAGGTTGGGCTCAGAACTGGAACCCATGCACTTTCAATGTGCTGGTGTACACCCAATAACTTCATTGTGCAGTGGAATTCTCACTAGCAGTCATACGTTTAAATGCACTTCTTGGGCATCTCACAAACTTCTTTATCTCACAGCTTTGCCTTTAGAGAGTTCAAATGACTTGAATGGAGCTGCTTATCAATAGAAAAACCGATCCGCCTTTGTCTAAGCCAGTGCTGTGGACTGATGCTGGTAGCTCCTCAGTTTTAACTCTTTGGTTTCTGAAAACTGACCAAGCCCATTCTACTTTAACGTTCCATGTCCATGTTGAACAAAATTTTAATCTCTTCCTTGAGACTTTTCTCAAGTACTAAATATCTTTTTTTACCTTTATTTTATTCTTATCTTTCCTCTCCTTTTCCAACCATCGGATTTCAATGTGAGAACTATCAGTTCTTGGTTTTTAAAAATACTGTAAGTAGGGTTTGGGCTGATGTTCACTGGTGAAGTGCTAACTGGCTTGTGGGAGGCCCTGGCTTCTAGCCCCATACTGAAAAGGCAAACATAAATGTAGTTTTCAAAAGTGAAAAATTGCTTTAAAATTTTCGCGAATAGTCCTGCTGAGCCACGGACAGCCTTCCAAGTTGCAAAACCCAACAGATGAACCAACATTTTCCTCCCTCTTACAAAGGTTGCCAGGCTTCTAGAACAACACCTGAAGCCTCATGGAGGCCTCGTCTCCCCAACAAAACAAACTGCAAGCTCCATATCTATTGCTCACAGAATTGTATCACCTGCGTCTTTTTTAAGTTTGTTTTTATAGAATTTTTGTGTATTTCATACAGAACATCTCTATCAATCTTAATCATCTTTATACCCCTGCTCCACTGGCACCCTCCTTCTTCCCACCACTGGAGTCCATATACTCTGTCATCCCTGTTAAGGCCCACTGTGTCAAGTCAGTGTCCCCAGACGTTCCCAAGTGCAAGTCCATCCACTGAGATCTAGTCAGCCAGAATAACATTTTTAACCGAAAGAACAGTGGCTTACACAGAATAGAAACATATTTTCACCTGCATTAAAGAAGGCTAGGAGTGCAGTTCAGGGATGGAGACTCCTGTGGGTCTGATCCATAATCTACAAATCATCTTGGGTCATCTCAAGACCAAGAAGCTGCTAAGCTCCTGCCATCACATCCACACTCTAATAACAAAGGAGGCAGAAAACACACCCTTATAGTTAAATCGTTTTGTTGATTTGGGGTTTTACTGTGTTGTTTTGATAAATCTTACTCAAAATTTCTCCCTAAAAATTCTGAATATATCTCCTTGGTTCATAAGTCACATAACTACAACATCACAAAAAGAGACTGAGAATTTGCCTTCAATCTAGACAGAAAATGTCCCACAAATTTAGAGTTCTCTTACCAAGGAAGGAGAGACTACTGCAAAGAAAGCGGCAGTCCATGCAACATGGGTATTGCAAGTTCCTACGTAACAGTAGAGTACTGGAAGCAGTCTAAATGACCCGGGGGAAGGCATGGTTAAGTGAAATGCAAACTGTTCATGTGTTATGTTGATAATTAAAATATGACTGCATACTCTTTACTGACATGGAAAATTATCTAGGATACAGTTTCAACTGAAAAATAGCATCTATGCTATGATTCCATAGGTAAAATCATAGATCCAAAAAAAATTTTAACATTAACAGTGGTTAAATAGCCACTGGGGTTACTAGTATTTTGTATGAGCCAAATTGGGTCATTGTATAAGATGGAGAGCAATCAACAAAGGCACCTGAATCAGCCTTGGGCTTGCACACACATGCACCCACAAACATGGAATGTGCATACACACACCCATGCACCACACACTCACACACGGCACACACATGCACCCACAAACATGGAATGTGCATACACACACCCATGCACCATACACTCACACACAGACACATACACACACACACACACACACACACACACACTAAAAAAGACACTGAAAACTCATCTTCAGCAATTCAAAAACAAGTCAGCCTGCAAAGCATGCGATTTGAACATCAGATTCCAACCGCTGGGCTTTCTATGCTGCCCAGTTTATGCCAGCTTCATAGCAATAATATCAAGTGCACTGATTATTAATCTTTAGTAACACTGGGCAAAGAAATATTGTCAGTTGCTTTGGTTCATTGAGACATGTTCACTTGAACTTCCTATTAGATTTTACATGTATTTACCCACATAAATTTAAATTATCTTGTGCACAATATTTTGAAAATGCTATTAATTTCAAACATATTAGACAACAGTTGCTTTTTGTTTTTGACACCTAGCTAATTTGAGTTTTGCACGAACTCTACTTTAAAAAAATTTTTTTAGTGTGGTATTCAGTAGAAATCAATGCCTGCTGTACGTTTGTACACACATTTAAACTCAGACATTGATTATTCATTGCCTCTTTTCACTCTGTCAGGGATAATCATACCTTAGACTTCACTACTGGAAGATAAATGCAGTACTTGAAATCAAGGTCTGCCTTTACTATGTGTTTGACAGTAAGTCCTTCGCCTCGTTTCTTTTATCTCCGAAATGGTAGACCGATGATGTCTTTGCTATATTAAAGGGCATTGCAAAGGTAAAATGAGATCATTGATGGAAAATGGTTTGCCAAGTTGAAAGCAGCTTACATAATCCTGGGCATACTCACTTATTACAGAGCCACAAGCTTATGCAATGTGGGTTTTGTCATCTTTGGCCCTGCCCCCAACACCTGTAGCCAAACTGGTTGGTTGCTACTTCAAAAGGCAGCAGAAAATTGAGGGAGGCAGGTGTTACAAGAAAGAAGATTGACTCACTCCTCCAAAAATCCACATGAAAAAGGCATGAGAATAGCTCTGTCACTTTCCTGGTTAAACTTTAGTTTGTCCTGTAAACTATAATATATTAAAGAATCAGTTTTTTAAAAATACACTATGATTTTCTTTAAATATCAACTTGCAAATTCCAATAATTCCAAACATCTGAAAAGTATTTTAAATTTCTCACAGAAGGAAAAAATTCCCAGTGATTAAGAACAAATAGCACTTATTCAATTATAGCAAAAGTATTGGGTCACTCTGAACACCCGCTCACACCTACATACACAAGTACACATGAACACTCCCAAACAAAAATGTACACGACACACAGTTATATCATTGCCTTTGAAATAACATCTGTCTTAACTTCTGTTTTCACAGGTGGAGGAAAATTCAGGGTGGAGAGTTGTGAGGGTCGTTAGTTCCAGCTGGCTTTCCTCTGAGCTGGGTTGAATTACACAGTGCAGAGGGCCATCGGGGGCTCCTCTTTGCTGGGGTTTCTTACTCAGCACCTGGATCAGCTCATATTGCTTTAGAGACCAAGCTTTCTTAACGCTGAAAAGGCTGGCAGAGTTTATTGGGTTGTTATAGTTTGGGTGACTTGTGGTTTGAGTTTCTCGTTTCTCTTTTTTATTCTGAAGGGATTTGGTGGAACATATCACAGTGAGCTTTTTATAATACCCTTTGTATACGTGGATTTGTTTCCCAACATTTTAAGCTTCTTTATAGATCCCAAGTCCCATTCGTGAGCTTTGTGAACTGTGGGAGCATGCTTCTGCATCTTTGTTAGGGACACACTAGGCAATGCCTTTTGAAACACTCACTCTACTACCCCATAGACATAGATCAGTTCCAGACACCTTCTGGGTTTCCACCATGACCCTGAGACTTCTCTACATCTTAATATTTCCATTTCTAAATTGTTTCAGACTTTAAATACATTATTGGGCTAGCAATATAGGACTTACCTGAACCTTTCCTAAAGTAAATTTTGTGTCTGTAAACATACCAGCTTAAAGCAATATTGTGTTTTGTTAATGTTGTTGTAATAACGATTTAAATGTTTTCTTCTTTGCTTTTAGCTCTGTGAGTACTGTTTCTCACGTGGATGCACCCAGCCAGCAGGACCAGGTCTCTCGCCTTACAGCTCAGATGGAAAACACCTATCAGTTAGGTCTGCCACTCTATCACTCACCCTACATTAAATTTCTACTTCACCGGTGTTTTAAGTAACTATAAGCTGTTTTTATTGTCATTAGTCCTAGGTAAGAGACCTTAGTATAAGAGATTTGATACCACTTTAGTTTCGTACTCTGCAAAGTAGAAGCAACACTCATTTTCTTTTTTTAAATCGGGGTTTCTTAAATACCAAGCAATTGTCTGGATACTTTAGAAATGTATATTATATGATTGGATATTTATGTACAATTGAATGTAATATATCATTGAATATTTCTGGATGGAGTGATTACGTGTGTGTGTGTGTGTGTGTGTGTGTGTGTGTGTGTGTGTGATAGAGGTATGTGTTGCTGTTTTCTGCCTCAAAACCAATCAGTATTGTTGATGGTGGAGGGGAAAAAGCCCTCAGTACAGAGGTGGATGACTTGCGGTCCCCTGTTGACAGAGATGTTTACCTGTTGCCACTGAGATTTTGGATCTTTGGAAACAACTTCACACCTGCCGTATACTCCCAGGCGGAGTCCACTGCAAACATCTTTTCCCAGTCCTGTTTCTTCACAGGCTTATTTGTTTTCTCTAAGTGTGTGCCTACCCACAATTATCTGAATTTATGTATAATTACTGTCCTACAGAAATCCCATTGAGACTTACTAAGGGGCAAAGGAGGATTCTGTGGGCTAGGGTGATTCCACCTGTGGCCAATAAACCCCGGGAAAATTACAAACCATCACCCACCCTCCTGGGCCTTGTAGCCAGCTTTCTGCAGTAACCCCAATACTGCATAGATAAGAAGTACAGTTCCCCTTTCCATTCTTCTCAGGGGCTATACAACTATTTCGCTTCCTTTGGGGTAGGTGTAATCACATAAAGGGAAGACAAACACTCTACAGCTGTCGATGTGTTTAGATGATTCAAATGTTATTATGGTGCTAGAGACTGACTGACTACTTTCCAGTACTACAGGCTCCAGAATTAGTCTCCTTCTTGACGAGGGCCTCACTGTCTCCTACTTATATAAGCCATCTTACTGCCTCCTCACCAAGGCAAATCCTCCGCCACCCATTCCTTTAGAAAACACTAACCACCACCATGAATATCGAGTGAGTTTTACTACATGATATGCACTATCTAGCCATTTTAGTAAGCTTTATCTCATTAAATTGTAGCATAAAATATTATAATTTGGTTTGTTGCTGTTTTTGTTTGGCTCTCATGCAGCTCAGGTTGGCCTTGAATTCAATATGTCGCAAAAGATGGCCTTGAAGTCCTGATCCTCCAGTTGACACCTCCCAGGGGCTGGGGTTGCAGGCCTGTGCCACCGCAGCTCACATACAGTGATTCGTATTACTCTAATTTGGAGACATTATGGCACAAATAGATTAAGTGATCTTATCTTTAGCTATTCTTCCTTAATTCTAGTTTTTAACATTTTATTCTCATTTCTCAGACTTTTTGACTTCTGAAACATTTTTAGTCCTTAGGGGGAAAATTGTCTCAAGAAGAAGAAATGCTTTGTTAATCGTTAGTTATCACTGAAAACAACTTCAGGAGTTTACATTAGATGGTAAAAACTGAGTCTTGACTGTTTCTCTCTCTTTAAACGTCAGCATCCTAACCTGAGAAAAGCAATGATTACTCTGCACATATAAGGACAAGGTCACAGGATGTGAGGAAAGACATTGTCACCACCAGACAGCAAACTGTTTTAAAAATAGAACTTAGGGGCTGGAAAAATGGCTCAGTGCTTAAGAACACTGGCTGCTCTTCCAGAGAACCAAGTTTGGTTCCCAGCACCCATATGCTAGCTAACAACCATCCATAACTACAGTTCCAGAGGATCTGACATCCTCTTCTGGCTTCTGCAAGCATTGCGTACATGGGTGCACTAACATACATGCAGACAAAACAGTCATACACATAAACTAAAAATAAATAAGTAAATAGAATAAAAATAAAACCAAGTTTATGAGACAAAATAATAAGTGTGGAAGGGACACCTGTGCAGCAGACCACAAGAAGTACTGGGCTAGAACTCCAGTGGCACCAGAATGTTCTTCCCACCTTATAGATTCCCCTTCCAATTTGGTCCCTGGCAGTCCCTAAGGCTCCTGGGTCATAGCCTTTGGTATAAGCAAGGGGCTGACTTTTTTCCCCCATATGCTTCTACTTTAAATTTAAATAAAAATTTCAAGAAAGTATTGTCATTGGCCGGGCCTGGAGCAGTGTCACCTAAGCTGGCACAGACTCATGGAAGGTGGTGGTAGATGCTATAGAGTCTTATGACTAGAGGAAGAAGAGGATGAGTTCCAGAAGGAGAGATGCTCTTCCCAAATGGATGGGGGAACACTAGGCTGACAAACATATCTACAATGAAAGAATTAACCATTTTCAAAGAGCAGTGAGGGCAGGGAGGTGAACACAAAGCAGAGCTTGGTTCTCAGGGAGTAATGTTGGCTAAGTGAGGTCATGTGACATGAGGGCTCGGTAGGGGTAGGACTGAAGTAGGAAAGAGTGTCTATCTAAGTGACATCATCTAATCTAGTCCAGGCTACAGGTCTAAGTTTTTTAATGTTTTCAATAGAAAGGCAGAAATCACCTTCAAATTTGATTTCACTCCCCAAGAGCATGTAAGTAGAAATTTTACACTAAGGCCATGAGAGTTGGCACAGACTCCCAGAAGCAGGAAACAACCACTGATTGAGAACTGATTGCTTATCTTTCTTCCATAGGAAAGAGATTTATGCTGCACAAATATTGTATTTACCTACTTCCACCTCCCCAGTGCTTAGATTATGGGAAAATACTACCATGTCTGGTTTCCTACCAACTTAAATTAAACTAAACAATTTTTATATCATCATCATAATAAAAATACTATTTAATGAGCCTCAGAAGATTGACCCAAGTGGCCTATAGTCACAGCCTGTACCCTTCTGTGAAGCTGAGCCAATGAAACTTCAGCAGAAGTGAGGCATAGGAGGCCAGGGATTTACTCCACAGTTCCCTGCTGCAGCCTCATCTCAGACTGGTTATTTCTCCCAGCTAAGGGAATAGCTCCTCTCAAGGGAGCCATCTCCCTGTGCCCTCCTGGGATCTTTAAGAGCTCCCTTCCTGGATTCCTTGGGCCTGGGGTGGCATGTGGGTGACACATGTGCTTCTACTGGCTGAGGGGGACTTTACTGTCCCTTGTGAACTCTCTTTGCTTAGCTCAGATATCCCTGGAGGAGCCCTTGGTTAAATCCTTTCGGAATTTTCCTAACTTTAGTGTGCATGCTTCTTAAGACCCTGAGTGGTGCCATCATTAGGAATAAATACTAGCAACTATTAAAAGAGAGTTGTATAGCATTCTTGATTTCAACCCCTCCCCCTTGTCAATTCAACAATGATCCAGTCTGGATGCGAAGCCAAAGAACCAGAATAATGAAATGACTAATGTTCCAGGATACAGAGTGAAGCATACTTAACTGAAACTTTGATCTGAATGTGTATGTGATGTGATTGAGAATATAAATTCTGGAGCTAGATTAATCTGGTCACCTATTCCCAGCTCTGCCACTATGCGATTCTGGGCTTAAACCTCTCTTTCTTATCTGTGAAATGAGATTCACCTCAAAGAGCTACTAAAACATTAAATAAAGGCTTACTACAGTCCCTGACATGGACTGTGGTCAACAAGACATAACTACCACTTGTGCAGGGTTTTTTTAATGTATAAAATGTTTAAATCTACTTAAATTCAGAAATATCCCTATATATTCCTTATGCCTTTAGCATTGAATTAAACTTTGAAAAGGATAAAACACAATCTTGCTTAAACACTTTCAAAATTTTTATTCCATTTATTTATGTGTTTTTAATGTACGTGAGGGGTGCACGTTGCCACAGCACTCATTGGAGGCTGGAGGACAACTTTCAGAAGTTTTGCCTTATCCTTCCATCATGTGGGTCTCAAGGATCGAACTGAGATCTTCTGGCTTGGCAGTGAGCACTTTTACCACTGAGCAATCTTGCTGACCCCAGTCTTGCTTACATTTCACTGGGGAGAATTGCAGGTATGCCTTACCTGTTATCAAGTAGCTTGGGAGCCAGGATAGCAATGAAGCCCATGTGTGCAGCATAAGAAGTAAGAGGTGATTTGTAACCTGGGAAAGATGGAGGACTTCCTGGAGAAGACATTTAAACCCAACCTGAAATATGAGTGGATAGGTCTCTGATGAACAGTTGGAGAATGGTGCTCCATTTGAAGGCGAGAACAAGAGCAAGACATGTGAGCATCCTTCAACAGACAGATGGGACCTGTGAGCGCAGAGCAGCATGCACACGGAGTTGTGGCTGGCGGCGAGGTCACGGGATGAGTAGAAGCAAAGCTATAGATTCTGATGAGGGGGATGTCATGGAAGCTCAGGGCTTCCAAGTAATTGCTCTGGCTGCAGAGTGATAGATCAGAGGGGAACATATAAAAGCTGGGGAATCCATTAGAAAGGTGTCGAGACTTTGAAGTAAGCCAGCTACTAGCAATGGAACCTGGCCAGGGAGACTTGCCATCTCAAACCTCAGCTGAATTAACTGAACTTCCTAGGTAGCCTGCTAAATACTTGAGTTTATTATCTCCTCATCATCTCCTACAGAACATGACCCAACACCTAATTCCAATTTCTTTCTCTCTTAAATGGAGTTCACCCAGAGGACTAAAAATCTCTTCATGGTTCAGTACTCTTTTGATTAGCCTGTAAGGTAGATGAACATGATTCAATATTACTTCTAAGGAAATGCATTGTGTATTTTCAGGTCCCACCAAACATTTTCCTGTGGTCACTGTCAATAGTATTTTGAAAGATGTGCTAACTAACTATCTGCAAGAAGAAGAGTACAGTCCAGAGCTCTGCAGACAGATGACTAAGACGATTTCTGAGGTACACTGTGATTTGCCCAGTGTTAGCTACAACTGAAATCTTTGCTGAAAAACAACCCACCTCTGCTTTTTGATGAAGGGCTTAACTTTCAGGATTAGTTAAAAGGCGTATTTATATTTATATATATATTTATATCTTATAAGAATAGTTATTAAGTCTTACACTGTTTGTGGCCATAGGTACATTGTGTATTATATGTGTACATATAAGCTTTTGGTATTATATGCCTTTGTCTAAACAATCACTATGCATGTATTTGTAATATTTATTATTTGTAATATTTGGGGATGTGAACTCTGGTCCTCACACTTGAACAAGTGCTTTGCCCACTGAGTCATTGTCCCAAACTGCTCCACTTTTAGACAATTTTTATTGTAAAAGATGCATTTTAATGACTATTTTCTCTTTGCCACAACTTCTCTCTCTGTATTTTTAATTGAATTTTTGTGATTTTCATACAATATAATTCGATGCTATTTAGATCCTCTCCCCTAGCCACGCCTCCACTTACTGCTCCCCACACAATTTAATGTACTCTAGTCTCTCTATGATATATATAGATATAGATATAGATATATATGTATATGCCTATAGAGTCTAATTTGTGTCCCCAAATATCCTCACTATGGGTCCATCCACTGGAGTCTGGTTAACCTAGCAAGAGTCCCATGGATGAAAGAGACTATCTCTCCCCCAATGTTGCAGGTCCAAAGTACACCAACTTCTTCAAGTGCCATTGAATACACATATTGTGGTCTTTAGATACGTTTCTATTTGTATCAGCTAAAGTGCTGGCATTTTATGATGGTTTCTTCTGCTTTTATTTTTATAACAAAATCTTTAACAAATGTTCATGGCTATTCATGTTATAGGAGATTCCAAAATATGGTTTCTTCATTACATGAAAAGACAAAATAACTCAGTGACAGCATTCTTTGAAGAGAAGTCATCTTTTAACATATATTTGCAAAGAACATAATGCTCCATTGAATTCTGTGCTCCAGATTGCAAGCTTTCTATGTGTCTTAGAAACTGTAGGTTTGTGGGACTGGCTCAGCAGTTAAGAGCAGTGGCTGCTCTTGTAAAGGACCAGGGTTCAGTTCCCAGCACTCACATGGCAGCTAACAACCATCCAAAACTCCAGCTCCAGGAGATCCGACAGCCTCTTCTGACCTCTGTGGGCACTGCAAAACACCAGTGCACTTACCTACATGCAGGCAATGGATTCATACACATAAAATAAAAATAATAATTTAATTAAAAGAACAAAGCAAGTGGAGCTTTGTTCCTAGTGTCATTTTATCCCTGAATGTCTTGTCCCTTGAGGACAGCACTTAAAGGAAGTCATACTTGGGGTTCTATGACTGTCGCTGAAAGTACTATGCATCCTGCTGTTTTGTTTTGTTTTGTTTTGTTTTAGTTCATCTTAAAGTCAGTCTATGAAGTCCTGGGTTTCATTAGGGCATTTTCATACATATACGTCATTACATGCCGTCTCCTCTTGTGCTCCCTCCCCATTCTTTCTGCCCTCCTTCTGTTGGCCCCTCCCTCCTCCCAATTATCCCCAGTCTGCTTTTCTACCACACACCAGGCTATATTTAGGGCAAAGCTTCAAATTTCTTAGATTTAATGTGGCTAAATAAGAAACCCCCCCCTTTTTTTTTTTCCAATTTCTAGGTTATTAAAGCCCAAGTCAAGGAATTAATGATTCCTCGATATAAACTGGTTGTGACTGTTCACATCGGACAATGCGATGGCCAGAGCATACTTATTGGAAGCAGGTGCCTCTGGAACCCTAAAAGTGACACCGTTTCATCCTATGTTTTCAGAAATTCTTCTCTCTTTGCCCTTGCAAATGTCTATGCAATTTACTTTGAGTGACTGATGCTGAGAACTACAGTTCTTACATTTAAAAAATCATGTAACAAGCTGTATGTCTGTCCACAAAAGTTTTACTACCAAAAAACTGTGATAAAGAAACAAGAGGAACCTTTCAAACACCTGGAAGCTTCCGCACTGCCGTCACTCTTGTGATGATTAGTGACGGGAGGGTGACCCAAGGAAGAATCTGTTCATCCAAAGTGGAAGTTCAGTCTGGTTCTGCCAGTCTGCTTCATAACCATAAGCAGAGAGTCTTAGTAAATGTTTCTGTTCGGGTACTGGTAATTTTCATTTCTCTTTTAGTTCGTTACAATCCTCTGTACCACTTTTTAATAAAGATAGGTTTTAGAAATACATGGCCATATATTCGAGACATCACACCAAACACACACACACACGCACGCACACACACACACACACACACTCACATACGTGCACATACACACACCAGTATAGTAGGATAATTCAACATGGCATACAAAAATGATGAATGTTAACATGCCTCAGTGCTGCACATAAAATAATACCGGTTTTCATTTTGCACTTAATAAATTGAGCAGCATTCATTAACTGCAATTATTGTTACATGTACCTGACAGTTGAAAGTGCTGAGGTAGAATTAATGACTTCATAACAATTACCATGTTCCCGTGGGACCACAAGCTAAATCTAGAAGCTCTTGTGGGTTGCCTGCACTTTACAAAATTGTAGGAGAACTCAACTTTGGCTTTTCAGTAATGGAAACTATAAAGTGAACAAAGGCTTTTAAAGACACTAAAATAGATGTTGTAATATTAAATATACATGATGCTTAGTAGTAAATGTATCTGTAGCACATAAGATCATGCATTGGGAAAAGACACTACCTTTAAATATACACTGCCTGATGTGCCTTTGAGTAGGTTTTCCTGTTGTAACTTTTACCAGAATATACAGCTGGCAGCTTAACAAATAAAACGTATATTTACTATTTTGCTCCTATGAATTTAGTGCTAAAGTGACCCAGTGTGGCTCTCAGTGTATGGGAATTGAAACGTATAGAGCCAAACTGGCTCTTCTGCTGGTTAATGCATCTTGTAACATGGATCATTTATTTTTATGGTGCTTTCAAGCCTTTGTGTGCATGTAAAATGATGCTGTGGCGTTGTTCTTGAATGGTGAGTCGACTGCCTAAAGGATGTTCGTTAAAGGTCAAGCACAAATTGCTCACATATGGGGAGAATTAGCAGCATTATAGTCTTAAGGGGAAGATGGTGTGTAATTCATAACAAGAAAAATATAACAAATGGAAAAACCAGTCAATGTTCCACAATTTAAAAATGTCTTGGTGTCTTAATTTCCTTAAAACCAAACATAGTTTTATTTTTTTAATGCATACTTTCTAAACCCCATTCCTTCTCATTTTTCTGCCTTATGAAGTGGTTTTTCAAAGTGAGTCTGTCCATTTTCATTGTTTTTTTTTTCTGATAATGCTTTAGGGGGACTTTGTGGAATAACATGGACATCCAGGGCTTGCGCATCTCCACAGGCCAGTTTTGAATCTAGACCAGACTGTGAGAGTACTCGGTAGATGGATGAGCTTCACCTCCTTTGGCCTTTGTGAACATCTCCTTTCTTGGAACAACGGAAATGAAATCGTGTTTGAGTGAATCAAAATAAAGTTATTTAAGACATAGAAAATCTGCTGTGAAGATGACTCTGGTAGATTTATAAATTC